TTCTCTTCTCATTCTCTTCTTTTCCCTTCCCTTCCTGAACGGTTGCCAGCAAAAGCGTTACAACAACTGTTCAACTCCCCAGGCCTTCCACTGGACGAGCTTTTGAGCTCTGGCCTCGAGATCCATCAATGGTAGCTCTTTCTCTTACACTACTGGCTCTCACCCTCCATATTCCCAATTTTGACGTTACGATAGCTGTTTCACTGTCCTACCCGGTTCTGCACAAGGGAGTAGATCTAAGCGTATCTTTGGGTCCAGCCATTTATTCTATAATCTGTTGTTATCTGAGTAAGTTATCTTGTTGTTTGATTTGTGTATTTTGAATACAGCTGATTTTGAAAAAATAATTATTTTGCCCCTGTACTGAATAAGTTATTTTGTTATTTGTTGGTGTTTTTTGTAAACAGCTTATTTGCAAATTTTTTTAGTTGAATTAATAATTTGTATATCATAATTTGTTATTTTTTTAACAAAATTAAAGATTAAATGTTAAAAGAAGAGAATACAAAAAAGTTGTGTTACATTTATATAACTCAAATATATTTGATCACATAAAACAAGCAAAGTTACACATACAAAAGTAAAATGCACTTTCACATACTAATATGGAGTATAATGAGACCAAAAAAAATTAATAACATGTCAAAATAACAGGAAAAAATTTATAATGTTGACTTTATAATGTAGCAACATATCACGGCCCATGCTGCCCGGCTCTGACACTCCAGAGCCCTAAGCAAACATGTCTGACTGTGATGCAGTGTAAAAGGAAGCACTCGAACCAGATGCGGTGTTTTGAAATTTTGAGATCGACGAACTCTAAGTAGCAGTGTCCAGTTGGGATATCATAAAAACAAAGTCTCTGTCAACCAACCTGAAAAAAGTGCAGTCTTCATGTCGTTGTGCCCACTGCGAGCACCTGTAAAATTGTCTCCTGAAGTTATGTGTCTGGCGTGACGTGAGTAGCAATGTCAGTAGCCCACACCGACATCACTTTCTCGGACTTCCCTGAATATCTGGAGTTCATCTTTCTGCAGTTATTAAAAATAAAATAGATCAGTAAAAAAATTAAGGAAATATAGAATGTATACGTAACAAAGTATGGAGGCAACGGTTGCCGACAACAAATTTCTGTGGTCGTCCAATCTGTTCCACCGTTATCCAGATTATAAGAGGTAAAACTATTAACCAACATAAAGTAATATATCCACAGTAATCATAAAATATGCTCAAAATTGCTATTAAAAGCAGCAATATATATTTTAGGTCATACAAAGAAATTCATCCAAAAATAAAACAGCTCAATGTAATTGTAGGAATACAGATACATTTGCTGCATAAAAATAATTTGTCACAAAACAGAAATACTATTTTCCAAACATATCAACCAAGACATATGTAATCTTATAACTAAAAACTTAAACAACTAGTCCATAGATTCAAGTTTGGACTACAATTTTAGAAATCTATACATCTTAAATGATTGCATTCATAAATTTTCGAAATTTTCAAAAGCTTGCTCATGTTTCCAGCAAAGCAAGGAGACCATACCAGCTTATGGAATTATAAAAAATGAACCACTGCTTTCATCAAAGCAAGGAGAACATGCAAACAACAAATTGATGAAGTACCATAGCCTAAGGAGAATAATTGTAGCAAGGGAACATCTACAGCCAGCATGCAGGTACCAAATTACAGCCAGCAGACTTGTAGGGGATGGAAAGAAGCTAGAGTAAAATCTACTAGCCATCAATATTAATGAACATAAAACTTCCGTTCCAGCAGTCAATGACAAAATCCATCATGGTTTGATTTTAGTTTTAAGATTTATTTTTTGCCATAGATGCCCATAGTTTGATTTCAGTTTCAAGATTTATAGAAAATACCTAAATCACCAAGGATCCAACTCCACCTGCCCCGCCTAATACAAGAATAGATTTACCAGCATAGAAGCCTGCTTTCTCCAAGCCTTCATTTGTTGTCTCAATAGCAAGAGGAATTCCAGCAGCCGACTGAATGGCCAAATTAAAAATGGAGAAAAAGGAGATGGAAAGAAGTAAAATTTAAAATTGTCCCCCTAATTGTAGAAGCAAAGGTTGCCAACAACAAACCTCATTAGTCATCCAAGCTGCTCCACAATTATTCTCCTATTGCTTTTTTGTTGAGAACAAACCTCCATTGGGTTGACAGAAAACATCCAAAACCTCCTTACCAACTCAATAAAAAGGTTCTGCATTCAACTCCTTCTCCACGAAAACATTACATAAATTCCAGGGTACATGTTAACTGTAAACAGCAGGCAACAGAAACATTTCCTTGAAATTGACCAATATGAAATAACTGATATTCTCTCATTTCAGCCATACAAATTTACATATCACAAAATAGGAATGTTGTTTTACTCTTTTTTTTTTAAGAAGAGGAGAATTTGATGACAGAAGAACTCTAAGGGCTTGGAAGAATATAAAAATTTGATCAAAAATGAAGATTCATAACTATGATTTCCCAAGCAAAAGCAGATCTATAACCTGATTACACTACAGGGATGAAAATTTATAACTCACAAAAAAGGCATGGTAAAGTATATCGAGCATTTGGAATCTTGCACAGGAATTTATCCAACGTTGAAATAACCCTTCAATGGGTTTACAGAAACACGTAAAATGGGATATAAATTCCAGGGTATAGGTTAATTGTAAAAGCTTGCAATTTAAATAAAATATTCACTTCTCTGTGATTTGATGAAATGGCCAATTTTTCAGAGTGCTTGTGCAACATTCCAAAATGAAATGAACAAACAGTGAAAATACATATGTAAGCAGTTTCTTCTTCACTCTTGCACATAATACCATAAATATCATTGAAAGAACTCTATGTAATGAATGTAAACAGCTCAATGTAAGTTGGGATATAAGATACAATTAAATATGCTAGTTTTGAGCAAAATTCTAGCCACATTTGCAACTGCTAGTCACATTTGGAAGCAAGGAAATGTATAGATTGCTTCCTTGCTTTCCTAAATAAGCTTGTAGCAATGTAGCAACCTGTTGACCTCACTTTTGGTTGAGGCCTAGTTCTTCCTCTTTAGTAGCCTAGGGTCTAGCCGTAGGACTTTCCTATTGACTATTCCTAGAAAACCAGAAGGAACCCTCATCATTAGAAATTCCAAAACCCTCTTTACTCAACTTGAAGTTCCACATAGTGGTTCTAACCTCTAGCACTTAGTAGGTGAGGTCATTATGAAGGAGCTCAATGAGAGTTCCCATATGACTTCCTGCCCTTAGGGTTGACTTTGGGTGTTGGTCTAGAGCTAAGGCACTCACTACAATCGCCTCACTCACAATCACTCACAAATACAAACCCAAAATGTCTTTGACTTTGATCTTTTAATCCTTTGAGAGACTCATGACTACTAGCCCTGGGCTGGAGTTTACCTAAGACTAGTACATAGAGAACCCAAATGGGGTTCCCATTGGTCCATAGCTCATTTATGGTGGATGACACCCCAATTATACCAAAAATACTCAACTTGATCTTTTTGTCCATGAACTCTCCCAAATTACCTAAGTACCCTTGAAATCCTAATTTTGGCCAAAATTCCCAAATTTACCCAAAATATCCAAATTTGTTCAAAAATCATTTCAAACCTTTTGAAAACATCCAAATTACCCAAAATCACTAAAAAATTGCCAAATTACAAAATGCCCCTCATGGGCCCAAAATTTCAAAAATTTTAAAAAAAAAAAAATCCCAAAATTTTCCAAAACATTCCAAATATTCTCAATTTCATTTTTATCAACTAAACTACCACATAACCCAAATTGACCATTTTGACCAAAACTCCTAAATTTCTTTTAAAGGCCCAATTTTTCCCAAATTTACCTCAAATGTCCATCAATTTGGTCTCAATTTCCCCGGTCTCAATTTCCCCCAATTTCAATTATAAACTCAAATTAACCTTTCATATGACCAATATAAACCAAAGCCAAGCTCAATTGGCTCATTCTTTGATCCCAATTTTGATCTAAGTCAAATCCCCAATCTTGGCCTTATGACTTGATCTCACCAAATTAAACATATGGCCTACTCAATTTGTCACAATTTATGTTGAAAACTCTTCATAACATTCTTAAACATTAAGACCTTCAATTGTCCTTTGTGATTCCTCAATTTCATTTAATTTCAACTTAAATCCAAAAATCCCCAAATTTGCCCCAAATTGGTTATGTCCTCAAATTCCACCAAATTAAATGCCTTAGCCCCAAAATTGGCACCAAATTCATGTTGAAAACTCTTCATGACATTTTTATTGACCATTCTAAACAATCAATTTCGACTTAGCCAAAGCCTAGCCCAATCTAGACCCAAGTTTAGCCCAACATACCCAAATTGACTAAAATCTCAAAATCCTTCAAATTGAACCCCCAATTGAGCTCAAAATCACTTCAATCCTTCACTAAAAATGTTCATTACAATCATCTACACAATGTTGATCAATCAATTGGGCTCAA